GTTGTTGTAGTTGTGGTCGTTGTGGTTGGGGTTGAGCTTGTCGCGGTTGCTTTGTGGTTGTGGTTGTGGTGGTGATTGTGGCTGTGGCTGTCGCTGTGGTTCTGGTTCTGGTTGTTTGGTTTGTTGGTTGGCTTGGTTTTGCTTGGCTTTCTTGGCTTGGCTTGGTTAGGATTGTTTACTTGTTAACTGTCTGTTTGGTTGATTGATTGATTGATTCCTTGCTTGCTTGCTTGCTTGAATGTCCGTGTGTTTGTGGGCTTGTTTGTTTTGGTTGGTTGGTTGGTTGGTTGGTTGGTTGGTTGGTTGGTTGGTTGGTTGGTTGGTTGGTTGGTTGGTTGGTTGGTTGGTTGGTTGTTTGTTTGGTTGTTTGTTTGTTTGTTTGTTTGTGTATTTGATTGTTTGTTTGTTTGTTTGCTCGTTTGCTTGTTTGCTTGTTTGTTTGCTTGTTTGTTGTTGTTGTTGGCGGCCCTTAACCGGGGATAGCACAAATGTGATGTTGTTTCCTCTGCATTCTCGGGCAGTTTCTGTTGGTTGACGCACACCTCTCAGCACATCCGGTTTATCGGGCTGTTTTGTATCTGTCTGAAGCTGCCTGGAAGCCAAACCTATTGCGGCTCTGTGAGTGGTGGTGTCGTTGCCGCTGCAGTTGCTATTGCAGTTGCAAGTGCTGTTTCTGCTGTAGTTGTTGTCGTCGATGGTTAGCTGTTTGTTACTTGTTGTGTGTTGGTTGGTGGTGTTTGTTGCTTGCAGCAGAAAGAAAGCAAATATGCCGACAACACGGCACAGTGACGACGACGACCAAAGGCAGAGCAGGAAACATGGCAACCAACAGCAACAACAAGAAACCATAACAAGAAAAACAATAACAATACAGAAGTACGAAGACAACTTTGTGATCAATGACCAGGAAAACACACGCAATTGTCTTAATACGCTGCATTACTCAGAGAAACGCCAGCACATGACAAACGCAGTGAACGGCACGCATCAGCGAATGCCCAACTGCTGAGCAGGGCTGGCGGAATGGCATGCCGAGCCTCCTTCTCCCCCTCATGGCCCTCAGCAAGGAACCGCTTTGGGCGAAGCTGGCGCGACAGGCAGAAAGGTTCGGCCCTGATCTGTAAAAATGTTGATGAACTTGAGGTGCTTGAATCAAATTGAAGCAAACACATGATTGTAAGTTGTTTTAATACGCTGAAAAATCGATTTCATGTTGGCGCCGTTGCAGAAGGCTCAACTCATTGCAACGTGCGCACGGCCCGTACCAATCTCAAATTTTGTCTGATGTGCCCATTCAGAAGGCGACCACCTGCTCATGGCTGCTCATGGCCACTTTGCCAAATCATAAGTACCAGCAAATATTTGACTTGTTCAACCCACAAATGGGGTATGTAAGTTTGGAGGGCCCTTGCAATCTTTCTTTCGGTAGCGCGTGACATGCAACAAAGCGTGCCTCAAGCACACGTCTTTTGTTGGGGCTCGATGTTAGCCTGCGGGGCAGGAGGTTGAATGCTTTGCAAACCCTGCTGTTCAAAGGGCGTAGTCAAACTTGAGGTGCTGAATCCGCAAGACACACGGTTGCCTAGAGACCCTAGTTGGCCGTGTTGAGCTATTTTGGGAAAGGGTTGGCTTTTGCATTTACAAACTTGAAAGGAAGCCTGAATAAAGCCGTCTGACGAACAAAGGCTTGTATTCCCAAGTCTCAATGCGAGCCCCAGTGGACATGATTTGCACGGGGCGGTAATTACTTCACATCGGTGTGAAGAAGTTGCGCGGACATCCTCTTTCCCATCGACCATAAAAGTGGACAGGGGCCGTTCCAAGATCACTTCTGTCCGTTTCTAGTGGTCTGACGTCTTTGAATTTGTGTGGTGGCCTCCGGGCATCTTGGAGGCAAAATCCGTGTTTCAAAGTCAGGATAATCCCGCGAGGCGGAACCTCAACGTTAGGGAGACATCTTTGCGGCTGCTTGGCTTTTGCTTTGCCAAGTTCTGCCCATGAGGCGCACAACAATGGCATGGTCTTGAGGCGACTGATATAAAGGGTTGCTCTGAAGGCACGTTGAACATTGGTACATGAAAGCGAACACATTCAATGCTATACCCTAGGTTTGTAAATTTGAAGGCTCTGAGCAACCCAATATTTATCCGCTGGCTTCAAATTTGCTGCGCTTACATCACTTTGAGTGAGATAAGCATGCTTGCTCCAGAGACATTGGCAAACTCTGGGAAAGAAATCCCAAACCCCACTGGGGACTCTCCTCGGAACAGAAAGGGGCACCACATTTGGTACGGAACATGGCGGGCATATCGGGTTCTACAGGAATCGAATGGGAAGTAAAAGGTAAAGGGGTGGTCCAACCAACCAGGCAACCAACCAACCAACCAACCAACCAAGCAAGCCCAACCAAACAAGTAAACAAACACACAAGTAGAACACGACAAAACAAAGTCAAGCTGCGCTGTGTGTCATCGAGTTCGAAGAGCGAGGCAACTGACAATTTTTGCTCGCACCAAATCGCTGCTCAGCATCCCCTGCATCATCCGGACGCAGGCCAGCCAAGAAACCTGCTCCCAAAAACATCGCCAATGTTTCCCCAGCTTCAAAAAACACCGCAAACAATTTGCGAAGCATCCGCCGCATCACCAGCACCATGGCCTCGCCACGGGACGCAGTGGATGCGGTCCTCGCCGCGTTGGCGCGAGCGCGCTCGCTGAGCTGAACAGCCAACCAGCGCAGCCGGTGGCAAAGCCCTAGACTCAAACGAAACAAACAAATACAACAAACAACCTCAAGCCTAGCTAAGAAATGCAGGAGGTGCCTTCATCATGTGGCCTGGACCGGTCAGCTCGATCCAAGCGCAGTCCCTGGAGCAAGGCCTTTGAGCTGGGCAGCCGCGACTAGCAAAAACTAGCCTCCCAAAAGAAGAAGCATGTGTTCGGCCAGTTGTTGGTCATCTAGGCTATAACCCACTTATGAGTCCCCTCTTGTGGGGTTAGCCATAAGGGGGAATATTCTTTGTCCTCTGAGAAAATAGATAGGTCGGGTTCCTCAGCACTAAGTTGACCGCACCAAGCTGATAAGCACTGGCTTTCGCTTTCCTGCTGGAGGCCTTACAGTTTGTCCGAAAAGGAACCATTGGATGGCAAACAGGGAAGTCAGCCTACCCACGTTGACCCAAGCGATGCGGTTTCGTAAATGCTGAAAGTGTGCAAACAGGCAACATATTTCTTGGGACAATTGGAAGGAGCGAGCTATTTAGCATCCTGGGACTACTCGCACCTGTATTTATTTGACAACCTTGCACTACAAAATGATCCAACGCAAAACGGACGAGCATGTCTAATTGTTTGAACCCCCCCACGTCCAGTAATCTGACATGGAGCTGCGTAAACAGCAAGCAAGCCCGAGAGAAGTGACCTCCACATAAATCATATCATGCATAAGCTCAATCCTATACATCCCCTTAGGGCAGCATGCAACAATTCCTAGGGAATCTTGGTGGTCTGCGACCCCCCGCTTTTCTGCTCAGGATGTGAAGGAAAGCCAAGGAAACAACGAGCTGGTGGCTAGCAGGGATCCATCATGCCCCATCTTCGGCAACATCGGAAATCTTCCCTTCTCCTCCGGCACCTGCCAGGAAATAATGTTGCGCCCATGGGGCGGCTATATGCCCATAAGTTGCCCTTTACCCCTTACATGCATTTGTATACGTGCCCGTGAAAAGGTGTTCAGGGCATGTGGTTACCACGAAGGAAAAAAGGAACCCGTATGATGCTCTTCCGGATGAAGATAAAAAAGACATGAACCTATACCCCTGCTAAAGTTGTTGACCTCTTGAAAGTGTTCTGCTTGGGACATGAGCAATGGACCATATTACGCGTTTTAGTCAGAGGATGTGGTAGCAATTGGGTTGTCCCATGACCTCTCAGTTGCTCAGGTTGGCAACTGTTTAAACATGCAACTACTTTTGTGCATGAAAGATGGAACACCCTAGCCGAGGTGGGAACATAATTCATAGCCTGGTGCAAACAAATCCCAGGCAGGTCACCTTCATCAGCTTGTTTCGTTTCCCCGTGAGCTTGTTATTTGTTTGCCGGCTAGTTCTTACCTTGCCGAGGACGTCTCAGCTAAGGAAGAGAGACGGCCGGAGTTCACAAAGTTCGAAACGGTGAGCCCGCGAGCGAGTAAGAGCGCCTGATCAAGCCCTGTGGCTTGATTCAAGGGCTTACCATCTGGAAGAATGAGCCACAACTTCGCCCGCTTGCATGGGCTTAGCAACCTATAGAAGGACAAACAAAATGAACCCGATACTGGGTAAACAATAGTTCACTTACCTGAAAAACCATGGACTGCAAGGAACCTTCACCAAGTAACCCCTCAGTCTCTACATGTTGCTATTTCCCCAAGGAACTCGTTTCCAAGGCCATGGGCCCACGGTTTAGATGTGAAGTCAACCATGGCCTTTTGGGAGTGGAGCAATTTGTTTGAATGCCCAAAACGAAGTTGCGTAACACCCGGGAGTATGGGGGACTGACTGTGAAGCCGGAGTCTGGTCTGTCCAAGATCAATCCAAACACTCCCCGCCATGGGGCCCCCCTGCTATGGCGTAGGAGCCTTAAACGCATCCCTGCAGGAGCCAGATTGGGAGAAATGAAAGATCGCCACAAGGACAAAAGGGAAACATTCGCGATGGCTTTCACAAATTATCAGGCACAGGTTTCAAAAAACTTGGGGCAAACTGGTTTACAGGCTGCGTTCATCCCGGATGACAAAACATCTACGGGACCCTGAGCAAAGCTCAAGTCTCAAGAGCGTTCCAGGAGGCAGAAAAGCATGGGTGTCCATTTGCAGTGTAGTGGAAGCTACACCTTCAGGAGTGGATGTTTGCCCCGTCTGCCAGAGGCTTGCCTAGAGTCAACAGTTTGCAGCTTGAAAGGGAAACCATGAAGGAAAACTAAAACAACAAAACATGTTGAAAGGCGTGCTTAAGCCTGGAAACGGATTCCTTCTTTTGACGCGGGCTCGCCCTTCTCGCGGGGCTAGAGTCACGCTTCAAGCGCCTGCTTTGCAGCGCAGCTTCCGGAGGCGACGGACTCCGTTTCCGTACAAGCACCAAATGGCCAGGGCTTGGAGCAGAACTACCTCAGACAAGCAAGCGAAGCAAGCACCTGACTGAAACTGGGAATAGAGTTGCTCCACCCACGAGAGCCCTATAATACAAGATAAAACCCGATAGAAGCCACTAATCCGAATGCACCTTTTGGCTCGAAGCTTTAAGTATGGATGACGCACTCTCTCACTCTCTCAGTTGTTCGCTCATTCACTCCTTTACCTACTTAAACTCACACTTACTCGCCCACTTACCCACCCACAATCTCACCCTCACTTTCACCCACGCTCACACCCAAACTCAGTTCACTGGGGAGTCTGCCCTTGCATGCTCTCCACTATAGCTGCATGCTGGAACCCGAAACCATTTGGTCCATGATAGTTCCATGTTCATTGGGGAGTAGACATTTGGAGCCACGGGGTCCCCACAAAGACTCGGTTGCGTGGCCACCTCTGTGGGAAGCCATTGAGCCCGCATGGACGGGTGAAGAAGCCACATGGCACACACCCTAGGTGTTTTTTTTTCCGGGCTTGACACCCCCCTAGGCACCCTAATGTGCAAGCGATCAAGCCAAACAGCCTGATAACAGGCATGCTAGTAGACACACGTAGCAACTGGAAAAGGCCCATGAGCAACGTACCTACCAAACCTCGCCAAACTTTTGCAGCCACCTGCACACATTTCCCAAATGTCAGCAAAGGAGAGACCCCCTTTCAGCAAAGGACCTTCAAAATGGAGGTCCCCTTAACTCGAGAACTCCTGTCGGGAACCCCCGTCAACATGAGTGTACTAAAAGCCTCACGACAGTGTTCTCTTTTTTGAGTTTTGTGCTTTTCGCCAAGGCGAAATCAGTATAATTGGATTCCGTCCCCGGCAAGTGAAGTTCGGGACGCCTTTTTTCACCAGCCGAAACTTGTCTTGCGCGAAGAAAACAAAAATGGCTACTCCTCTCTGCGCGCAGTCAAGCTGACGTGCTTATCATGTGCTGCATGAGTATGAGCATTGCTGCGCGCACGCAGTCGGGCGGATGCGCTTATCATGTGCATGACACCGAGCGTTGCTGCGTGCACGCAGTCGAGCGGATGTGCTTACCATGTGCATGACTATGAGCAGTGCTGCACGCACGCAGTCGAACGGATGAGCTTATCATGTGCATAACACTGAGCGTTGCTGCGCGCACGCAGTCGAGCGGATGTGCTTATCATGTGCACAACTATGAGCGTTGCCGCGCGCACGCGCAGTCGGGCGGATGCGCTTCTACTGAGCGTTGCTGCGCGCATGCAGTCGGGCGGATGTGCTTATCATGTGCATGACTATGAGCATTGCTGCGCGCACGCGGTCGGGCGGACGTGCTTATCACGTGCATGACTATGAGCATTGCTGCGCGCGCGCAGTCGGGCGGATGCGCTTCTCATGTTCATGACACTCAACGTTGCTGTGCGAATGCAGTCGAGCGGATGTGCTTATCATGCGCATGACTGTGAGCATTGCTGCGCGCACGCAGTCGGGCGGACGTGCTTATCATGCGCATGACTATGAGGGTTGCTGCGCGCGCGCAGTCGAGCGGAGGCGCTTCTCATGTGCATGACGCTGCGGTTTGCTGCGCGCGCAGTTGGACGGAAGTCCTTCCGAACATCGGCGAAAACACTGAGGGGCCGGCGCCTGACAATGCCTACGCGAACATCAGGCAGTTCCGTTTGTGTAAAAACCCTTAATTCTGGGGAGAAAAAAGCAACGCTGCCCAAATGTTGCGTCATATCTCTGAGAAGCCGCAAATTAAGCAGCTCCCAAAACCCTGTTGCTTGGATTACGAGGGCCTTGGAGCATATCAAGGCTCAAACCAAAAGGGCATGAACATCGTTCGGGGCCCTTTCTCATTTGCAGAGGGTTCGAAGGGAAGCCACACGAAACTTAATGTTTAAGGACCACCCTCGTCTACCTCGTGTAGTCCCCCTAAGTCGTCGAGCCCTGTACGGAGATACATGCTTGCAGCTTCCCAAAGCACGTGGTTATTAATATTGGGTTGTGTGTAATTGCGAAGGACTATACTCAACAAAGGAATCCCCGCAAAGCATGTGACAAGGGTCCTAAATATGGCTCTCCGGATTTATCTGACACTGTGATTGTGCACCTCTAATATGCGCAAAGTATGTTTAACGTTCGCGACCTGTGCTTCAAGGTGATGGGTACCTGACCAAAAAACAAAAGAGTATAGATGTATGCGTGTTTAAACCTATACGATATATATATATATATATACATACAGGTGGGTGTGTCTCAAAACTAAAGAGCTAGGGTTACGCAATTTCTAGCCTTTGGTTTTATTTACCAAGGTGCCATGTTGGTACCATATTTTGAGCCACAGCCACGTATACTGTGCATGTGCTTCTGATGACACGAGTTCCGAGTCCATCGAAATGGACGCCTTCAACAGTTTTCCGAGTCCGGGAGCTCGACTGACGCGCGGGTCGGCTGAAGCCAAGCCGCCAGAGAAACGCCGAGGACGAAGGAAGGCCGCTGCGCATCTCGGACGGCGCCGGGGGTTTTTCGGCGTTTCTTGGTTGCAACTTCCCGGGCCCCCCGATTTCCAGATCCAAACCTGTCACTTTCAAAAGTCCGAAAAAGGAAACTGAGGGACCCCGTAAGAGCCCAGCAAGGAAACAGGAAAAACATGCATACATCGAGTGACTAAAAATGAATATCAAGACAACTTATAAAATACAATTATATACAGATGTAGATACATACAATATCAATTGCAGACTTGGGCGAGCCTTGGCGAGCCGAAACGAATGAGGGTGCTTCGTGGTGCCAGCGATAGCTGCGTTTCCTGCAGTCTGACTCAGTTGTTCAGTGACCCTGGAAAAAAAGGGAACCCTTTTAGGGAAGCCCATTTTTGGTGGGGCAGTCACCCAACCAAAAATATGAAAACATGGTGCCACTGAACAACTGAGTAGAAGTGCACGAAGCTTCGCCTCCAATGGACAAGTGGATCACATGCAACCAGGCCCCTCTGCCCTGGTCCAGGCAGAAGGCTCCTGACCAGGGAGGGGGAGGGGGTCCTGCGCATCCACACTCCACAAATGTGGAACCTTGCAGCGGGCCGGGGACCCATCATGACCCGTTCATCGGCCAAGTGGCTCTCCCCCAGCAGCATGAGTCTCAAAGGCGCCCGCACTGAGTAGAAGAGAATAACCACGCACACGCCTCGGGAAAAGTGCCATGGCCCGGAGCAAGAACATCCGGCAGATCGTGAAAGCCTAACACACCGACAGACGTGACCAACAAGAGATAAACAAGGCAAGTGTTGCGAACACCTGCTGCAGTTTTAAGGATCTTGCAAACTTCCACATCCATAAGGAGAGCAAGGGAAGACCGGGCGACCCAACAAGCCAACTGCACGCATAGCACACCATCACTACAACAGTAATTCAAAACGAAAGCAGTGATCCGCAGGGCACACCAAGTCCAAAAGAGCAGCGGCTAAGCGGTGCTTCAGCCAGCTCATCACGAAAAAATAAAAACGCCTGCGCCAGGCCAAAATCACGAAGCAACACGCTCCTTGTCCCAAAATCAGCGGTCCAATAACACGAGATAGGGTTAACACGCAAACCAACACAATCCTGGGGTATACGAAAACATCCCCCAGCATGGGTTTAGCCACCCCCAAATGGGAAGCACGTAGGGCCCCTCCTTCCATTCATGCTTTCGCGACAAAAGACAAACCAATGGAGTAGGCCCTTCTGTTCTGAGAATGCCCCCTCGCACTGCTCCATGCATTGCTCAAAGGTTCGGATTGGGTTTTGACCATCATCTTTGCCAGTTGCCCAGTAACCCTGGTAGAACATGTGGGAACGCTTTCTGGGATATGAATTCACAACTCTTTGAAGGCCGCCCACTAAAATTCAAAGCTTGCAACTCAATGCTTGCATCAAAGCGCCTAGCAAATTCGGTTGACTTCTGCACGCCCAGTGACTTGGACTGAACTCGGAGGGACTTTGAGATTTTGAGGGTGCCGCGGAAAAGAATTGGGTGCACCTGTTGCCAACCCTGGGAAGCAAACTCAGAAAAACCTCCAAGTGGGGACACCACGCCTTTTACACAACAATTGGAGGGGCGCAAAAAATTAGGTGTCACCTTGTTTGCTGTTGACTCCCTGCCAAAAAAATAACTTTTGGGGGGGTTTAGTGAAAACACATAGATTTCCCAACAAGTGAAAGTCTAATGATCCAACCCAATAGCAGTCAAGTGTCAAACTCGGGCGGGGGACCCAAAATGAGTTTTCCTCACATTGTGTCTTTCAAGCGAACCCAAAAAGGGCACCGGTCCACCCCTGCTCGAGGCGCTTAGAGTCATGGCGACTGCCTCGTAGCATCTCCCACGCTGAGGCCGGTGGGATGTGACAGACACCTTGGGGATTCGTGTGTGAAGCCGCCGAGCGGGACCCGCGCGGGGTTTGTCCAGACCCAAATCTCATAACTTTAATCAGGGGGGCCTTCAAACCGAAAACGGATGGCCGGCTCTGGGCTGAGCAACTGCCAAAGGGCCCCGAAACAGCCTGTCACTTCACAAGCCATTTGATAACCGGCTCCTGGCGGGTGAAGGACCAACTAGTCCCGACCAACTCTTCCAAAACTGCGCCCAGCCAGTGTTGATGTTGCCATTTGGCATCTGCACTACCCTCCCAAAGCCCAGACTCCCTTGATCGATTTATGTATTTATTGTTTGTTGTTTTTTGTTTCGCGCTGCCCTTCTCTCTGTCTTGAATTCGTTTTATTTCATTTTGTTGTTTTAATCATTTCTGTATTTCTGTCTTTTGTTCTTTCTCTCTGTCCGTCTGTTGCTCGGTGTTTTTTCTTTGTTTCTTTCCTTCTTTCGCTCTTTCTCTCTGTCTATTGTTCTTTATGTCTGTATTTCTTTGGTTTATTTATTTATTTAGTGTCTTATTTATGTTTTTATATTTATCTATTTATTTCGTTTTCTCTCTGTCTCTCGTTCTTTCGTTCGTTCTTTCTTGTTATCTGTCTTTATTTATGTACTTATTTGTTTATTTCGTTCTTTCTTTGATTATTCTTGTTCTTTCTTTCGGTCTTTCTATTTGTCTTTATTTCTTTCTTTCTTTCTTTCTTTCTGGCTTTCTTTCTTTCTCTCTCTCTCTCTCTCTTTCTCTCTTTCTCGCCGTCTCTCGATATATCGTTTGTTCGTCCTTTCTCTCTGTCTTTTGTTCTTTCTTTATTTATTTCTTTAATTCTGTCTTTCTTTATGTCTTTCCTTCTTTCTTGCTTATCCAAAATGCGGCTGTGCAGACTCAATGTTGGAAAAGGGGCCCAAATCCTCCCCCCCCCCAGCCAGCTTGTTTATCAGCCAGGCTGAAGATGGTCTTCACTGCCCCCAAACCAGTCGGATTTGGAGTGGACGCCGTTTTAGGTTGTTTTTTTTGCCTGGGCACCAGTCCGATGGCCACTACAAAGTTAAAGACCATCAGAAGGTGCACCATCAGCGTCACCCAAAGCCCCATGGGAGTGTCAGCGACGCCTGACGGGCATGCGGATCTGCTTCAGTGATAATGTATGGGTGTGCAAACTGGTAGTGTCCTGTTGTTTTCCCGCAAAACCACCAAGAAAGGGGTACCCAAAACAAATACCCATATGGCGCAACTGCCATCCTGTTGGGCACGTGAGGTTCGAATCTGCCATCTACCTTTAGCCACCTCTTGCCGAACGGACAAACACCGGTGCTAAACCGTTCTCCCCACATCACATCCAAGACCACCCGATTCACAGAACAAGGCGTTCGCCAAATCTTGGGGGCATGGCAAAAGTTGCAATTGTAAGAAGATCTCCAGAATCTGTTTCTCCCCAAATTGCCCTTTTGGACTGGAGTTTGGAGGTTCGGGGGGTTCGGGGGGTTCGGGGGGTTCGGGGGGTTCGCGGGGTTCAAATCCCCAAGCCCAAGCCGCCAACCCAAACGATTCAGTGAGGTTACCTGACACACAAGAAAAAAAGGAAGCAAATGCACGAACCCCAGTGGCACCCATATGCTTCTCACCTTGCTTTCCACCAAAATGCCCTTCCCAAGAACATTCAGTTCCAGAACTCAAAAGCACTGGCTCGTTGCAACGGTCCTGGAAAGAAAAACACAACGGGAACCGGATTGGTAAACTCCAGTCAAGCAAGGGGGAAGTCCATGGTTTCGTCAGGAGTATGACTATTGGAGGGAACACCCCCCTACAAGCTTTTGGAGTTAGAGAGAGCTATCAGCAGACCCTGCCTGCCAGAAAGCTCACGCCCACATCATCCAGAACGCTGGCCATCACCTGTTCAGCTTGCTCAGGAACTTCGACCAAATTCGTTTGAACGGTTGCTAGGTCCTCCAGTAGAGAGGTTAGAATAAGGGTACCCTTAGTTTTTTTAGTAGGGGAACCCTCCCCAAACAAAGGGGTCAGAAAGGGCACTAGTTGGGGACCTAGATTACACCAGCCTCGACCCCAAACAGCCAAAAAAACACAAGACAAGCCCCTTACAGGAACGCCGCGGGCGTGGCCAGCTCTAGGCCCTAGGCGCTTCATGTCCGAGCTGCTGGCAGCGACAGGGCGCAGGCAGCGCTGCCCGGGATGCCGGCGGGAGATAGGGCGCTTGACATCAAAGGCATGACCTGAGAGCTTTTTCCCCCCAGAAAAAAAAAAAGCGGGTGTGGCTTTCATAGGGGACCGCCCAAAAAAACGGTTGTCTTCCTTGTGGTTCCCCTTAAAACGGCCACAAAGGGTGCCTTCGCCAAAAAAAAACTCAGTGAGAAAACGTCCGAACGGTTTGCCACTAAAATGGCTTTCCCAAAAAGATAAGACGTGGACGAACTGAGAATGTGAGAAGTTGGCTCAGCCAGTGGACCGCTGGCATGAACCAAACACTCAAGGGATGCACATAACCCACGGGGTAACTCTCAAGCACAGGAGCTGAAGGAAAAAACGGCTAAAACCAGAACATCCCCAACACCCAACAGGAGGAATCCCCAAGCAGAAGTTTCTTTTCCTCCTGCTTGGTTGAACCCTTCTGCTTTATTTCACCAATCCAAATTGTCTGTAGGTGGGGATAGGAATCCTTGAGCGTTGGGCGAATGTCCAAACCGTTTGGCTCTGGCTCAAAAACAAGTACCCAAAATGGCACCTCGGTATATGGAAACAAAGACTAACACCTGCGTAACCCCAGAGTTTAGTTTTGAGCCACACTCATTTGAGCTTCTCTTTTCTGCCCAAATTTGTTTCTGCAATCCTACCTTTTTGCGTTTGTTGGTTCAACGCTGCTTCTCTTATTGAAATCAGCCAAGAATTTGCGTAATTTGGAACCTGTCCAGGACGTCTGTGTCTGTGTGGAAAGCCGGTGAGATGTTTTTCCCCAATAACTACCAGAGTTCTGGTGATTTGCTCGAAGCATCTGGGCAAATTGTTTCATGCTCCGCGATCCAGAGAAAAAAAAGGAGGAAGAAACCAAAAAACAGATCCCGGAGACAGCGACCTTTAGCATGGGTGAGTCCGTCTTACCATGTTTTAACCCCCCGGTGAGCTCCTGATGCTCCGCCCCGCAAAATGACTTGAAGGTTCGAGAAGCCCCCGCACTGCAACCTCCAGCAGAGAGGTTTCAAACACAATCTCACTTTGGCACTGAGCAAAGCTGAGCCCCTCGAAACGCAGCTACCCTCACTAGGTCCTCCAGTAGAGAGCTGAGCATAAGGGCGCCCTTCTTTTTTTTCTCTCCGGTAGTCGATTTTAGCAGGGGCACCGAATCTCCCACCCAAAAAAAACGGGGTCAGACAGGTTGCACCGCTCGCTGGGGGAGCCGAACCTTGAGCGATTCCACACGCCAAGCTCCGGGCGGACTCCCGGGCGTGCTGCTCCATTGCCTCGCAGGCCTCTTGCACGGTGCAATGCTTGGGCAGGAGCCTCAGGAATCGCGAGTTGCGTTGCGCAGGTCGAAGTGATGAACACCCGGCCATTGGAGCGTGCCATATATATATATATAATTTAAATAATACTTGTGTGTGTGTGTGTGTCAAATGTGTCAAAGTAAGGAAGGCCCAAACATGGCTGGTTTTCCATTGGGCTCAGCCAGCCAGCCAGCCAGCCGTCCGTCCATCCGTCCATCCATCCCAGCTAGTGCCAAATGTTTGGTCCCGCGGCACTGCGTGTGTACTCCCCTGCAAATTGACATGGGTCACAAAATGGCCCAGGCCAGGAGGAGGTTGTCTGGGAATGATGCTTTGCGGGGTCCACATGAAGATATTTATCTGCAGGGGAGTAGTGTTATTTACTATGTGTTCAGTTGTGCATGCAATACGTACCATATGTACATGTGCTTCTTTCATTAAACATGCAGTGGGGTTTGATTATGCTCTTTGTGCAATTGTGTGGCGCACCGATCATGTGTAGTGCTTCCCAATGAACAATTTTTAAGAGCCATTACAGTTGCAAGGGGTGAAGCAGGTGGGGTCAACTGGGGTTACATTTAAAGGGTTGGGTTACAGGATGCGTTTTTTCAGAAGAAGTTAGATGGTTGTCCAAGGAAGACCTTGACTTGTCTAGATTTTCCTGTAAGCCTGTGACAGGTGCCTTGGAAGAAATCGTGTTCAATTGGTCGGTTGGTACCGTCAGTGAATCACAATGCATTTCGGTGGGGGTTTTCAGCCACTTAAAGACTTAGCAAACTGCCGGAACATGCGAGCAATAGGTAGGGCCTTAGAATATTCCCAAATGTTCAAGCGCACGAGTCGCACTGGAGAGCAGCACCCTAGATCTTCGCAATGTTTAAATCTACAACCAGGAATACTCGAGTAAGTTCTTAAGCGACCTTCAATCATGGGTGAGCTCGTTGACCCCCAAACGACTGGTGGAGATCCGTCAAGTTAGGCGGGAGGCTGCCTCTCTGGTCAAACAAGAGCTGTCAGTTTTGCTCACTCCGTTGGCTTGCGGTTGCCCTTCTACAAAGGAGCTTCAGGCACCCCCGCCCCCCTCCCCCAGAAAACTACAGGGGCGAGGGCAGGCTAGCTGTTTCATTGTTTTCTGGGTCCTCCAGCCCAACTCTGAATAGTTGTCAGAAAGCAGGACGCCCGCAAGAGAGGGGCTCCTCTTCCAGCAGAGCTTCTATTCGACCTCACGCCCAAACAAAATTAAACCGATTCCTTCCAAACTGGGCCAAGGATGCCGGATTCACCGAAAAAGGCGGATCTATCTGAGGAGCATTAACAAACATACCGGGTTGGGAGGGGCAATTGAGATCCCGGCTCCAGCAAGCCGATGGCTTTCGCGAGGGTTGCGAGAACATTCCCATTCAGCATGGATGCCCTTGAAAGGAATGAGCGTGTCCTTTTCAGGCTGGTTTAATGGGACATTCCAAGGAACACTGCCATTTTTGGGGGGGCAGCCTTATTTTGCATCTGTATATGTGTACACTATATATATATATATATATGTGTGTGTGTGTGTGTATGTGGCAAAGCTGCCATCCAGCCGTCCCTGAAACCCAGGCTTTTCTTCAGCAAGTGGCTCTGCTTTGACTGCCAAATACCTCACCGCGTGCATGATCTCTCGGCGATCTGGCTCCTCGTCGGTTCGAAGCGTCCCATTTTCCCGATTTTTTGCCAAGTAGATCAGCCGAACGCCGAAGCACGAATCCGGAGGATGCTTCATGCAAGTTGTCCACGTAACACTTGGATGGGGCAACCCCTTGGTCATATCTCCATCCTACTTTCACACCAAAGTGCAAAATGCAGGTGAGGAGTCTTAATGCGAGTGCCACAGGTAAGCCTTGGATTCACTGGGGCAACCTTACATCTTCGCTTGTGGCCAGAAATCATGTCGTGAGCCCAAGCGACCATAAGATCTGACCGTTCGCATGCCCTGCAGAACTTCCGGATCAATGGGGGGGGGGGGGGAATCTCAGAAGTGGGACGCCCCTTAGAAATCAACCAGGTGCGCAAGTTTGGGCCAAAAGATAGGTAGCGAGGCCTTTCTTTGAGAATCGTTCTGAAACCATGCGACACGTTTGAAATACTGTAAACACACATCAGGTCACATGAAACATTTGCTTAAAATACGACATGCCCTAGCTATTCATCCCAAAACAATCGGCAGGCACAGGCCAATAAACATATTTCATAAAGCCCCGGCCCGCAAAGCCTGGTGCGCCCAAACGTGTGGCAACTCAAATTACACTTCCAACTATCGATGAGGTGCCAATGGGATCACCTTTGCAGGGTTCAGGGTTCAGGGTTTGTGAATCACATCGCTGAAGGACAGCAGGTCGAGTGCGGAAGTCTTGACAGCAACTGCGATGCCGTTGCGTCTTGCAGTAAATATATTGTGACTCATCCAAAGGGTCCAGGAAACCAAACTTTGCAGCCGCAGCCGGCCATCGCATCTCCACATGGTGCAGGAATGGCACGACTCGGGAATGAATCCAACCAAAAAAACACTATTTAGTAAGTAGTGTGGCATTTCAGATTCATAGCTCCCACTCACCTTTTCTGACCAGCAATGACGATTCACCGAAGCCTCAAAAACCAAACATCCACTCGAGCAAACAGTACGAAAGCAACACACCAACGAGGCTCCGCGGAGAGCCGAGATGTTGCAAGCGAGGAACACGGCCCCAGTCACATGGCCATGGGTCAAAATCCAAATCGTACCCCTAGTGATCCCAATTCCCACTAAAATAGACTAAAATGATCTAAAATGGGTGGTGCCTTCCCCCAAAATGGTACCATTGGTTTTGACACACATCAGTGGAACCAACGGGACTCTTCACCAATTTAGCTTGGCAAAGGCTCTCTTCAAAGGATTGGCAGAGGGAAAGCCGTGCGATTTTCGGTACTCACCAATCGAGTGCTTCGTACTTCCGTAGTCACGATTCGTCCCAATGTCAATCCTTCTATGCGGAAATGTAGGGCTACCCATTAGTGCAAAGCGCTGGAAAACTTCCGGCTTGGCTCCAAACGTCATGAAGAAGCATACATACAATCGCATTTTGGTTTGGAAGAAGTCTAGTTACTATTAATGACATGTTCACGACTCAATTGTTCTTTGCACCACTTAACTTTCATTAGTTGTCCCTACTTCCTGGATGTCCAAGTCAACCCCCTCCCCCTGAAGGGTGGGTTTGTTGAATGAATGATTTGGGCCAAGAGATCCCAACGGCTTCCGACAGCGCCAAGAAGTTCTCAAAATCATTTTGAGCCCCTGAGAAATGAGTGGCACAGACCCCAAATGTCAGGGAACCCTTAGTTAGTGATTTGGGGGTTTGAAATGGTTTGAACCCCCCTCCATTTCGCCACACCACCGGGCTCCAAACCACCAAACAACCAAAGAAGCTGAAAATATGCACCTCCAACAGGGATCCTTACATTATACGCCTGAACAGTGAAATGGTGGTTTCCCTTTATTTTGGTGTTGAAAAAGCAACATGTTTCGAAGTGGTTGCAAAGTGTACCTTTTAAGGAGCCCGGTCCACCTCCAGGAGTTGGTGGTTTGGATTGGTGGTTTGGCTTTTGTAGATTTCGCCGCCAAACCACCGGGCTCCAAACCACCAAACAACGAGGGAAGCAGACAATGCGCACCTCCAAACACAGACCAAACCAGTTGCCGCCCAGGGCGCGTTGAAGCACTCCGCAGAGCTAAAGCTGAAGGTGTTCACTTGCTCGGTGAGCCGCGCTCTCGCCCGACCCCACCGCTGCAGATTGAGGACGATGATGATCACCCTCAGCTGAATTCTTTCTTTTCTTCGCGGCTCCAAAGGGTCCTTGCCCTGTGCCCTGGAAACTGTGCCCTGTGCCCTCAGCTGAAGTCGGCGAAATCCGAAAAAGAACACGCTCTCAAGCTGCAAATGGGTTGAGTTTTGACGCCTGGTGGAACACTAACCTTTCTGTCATACCAAAGCGGGGACATATGTCTTCACTCCGAAGGATTCTCTTGGCCACGCATTCCCAAGTCAGCTTTCCCGATTGGAAAAGACAAGAAAGACGACAAGGGTCCTTCAATTGCCGCTTTTCGGCGCCTAGAGGGGCAGTTTCGCCAGAAGACACCTTTTTTTTTGTTGCGTTCGTTGTCCCTCTCCCCTCTCAACCCCCCCAAAACGCCATCCCTCAGCGAAGCAATTCACTGAACACCAAATTTCAGTGGCCAGGGACACACCACTCATATGCCGAGCTCGATCGAGGCTTGGGCCTACGTGTGCTGAACTAGGAGGCGGTTGCAAGTAAAGCCAACTAATAAACTGATAAACGCACGTTGGTCAACGCTGATAAATAGACGGGTCACCTGAGAAACCTGACAAGCCGAGAACAGCGCAAAAGATACACCAACCTGGTAAACAGCATCAAAGGGCTGCTTCAGAACTTGTATAGCAAAGCCGCCCCCTGGTGGTTCCTCGTGCTTTATACGGTTGCCACAGATCATCTGCAGAGGCTTTCTGCTTTCCGCAAGGCGAGGCGCTGACACACTGCCAGAGACAACACGATGACGGCAAACGCCAAGAAATGGGGCTCCCTGGTCCTGACCGATCAAAGGCGCCTAAGGCGCGCCAGGTGAGACGCCGGATGCCCTACTTGCGCCGTAAACCAACCTCAGATGCCCAGTGGCCATGGGAAAAACGGGCATCATTGTTTGGTTGGTTGACTGTCAAGGGGAACCCTTCCCAAAAAACGGAAACCAAAAAGGGTACCACTGGGCAACTGGGCAACCTCAATCCATGGCAATTGAAAGGGATTGCGCCGTTCCTTCACTTGTAATACTTAGAGAATCCACCGCCACCGACTGCTCCCACTCCAGCCCTAAACTTACCGTTCTCCAACGACTAACAACCTTGTTGGACTTAGGGCCTTAGGCAAAGGAAAAGCCCGCCATTTGTCGCTCAAAAATCGACTTCAATGCTCGAGAGCCATTGCAAGCGAAGCCAGGGTCTGATCTGACTACTTACTGTTGTGCAACTGCTCCCCATGCTATGACCCCGAAATGTGTGATCAAATCCGAACCTAGGATTACGGCGAACTAACATGGTACTTGATGTTGACCCCACATTAATCAACCCCTGTTTATTAATATGGGGGTGTGCCCCTCCAAAAGTGAGTCACAATCAAAACCTGGTACACAAATGGTCGACCCAGAACCATGTAAAGAACTAAGAAGGCGGCCGCAGCTATTCATGGCTGGGATCGTCCTTTACTAAGCTTCATCTACCCGAGTTTTGATTGTGGCTCAAGTGATGAATCCCCACTAAACACAGGGACATCCCCATAACAACGAACAGGGGTTGATTCATAGGATTAGGTCAACATTACAGGCTGCCATAGAGGGAAACAGCGTTTCCCTTACCAAGATCATCTGACTGATGCTTGCCAGGCACTCGGCAGTAGTTTTCAGCCCAGTCCTCCCGAAGAAAACGAGGTTGAATCGGCCGACGTCCGCACACGGACGAAGCCTCAGTTGAGTAAGTTATGCCACGCAATAACAAAATGATCTGTCTCTGTCTCTCTGTCTGTCCGTCTGTCTGCAAGCCTGTCTGTCTGTCTCTCTGTCTCTGTCTCTCGCTCTCCCTCTCTCTGTCTGCTTGCCTGTCTGTCCGTCCATCTGTTTGTCTGTCTGTTTGTCTCTCTGGTCTGCTTGCCTGTCTGTGTTTGTCCATCCGTCCTTCTGTCCGTGTGTCTGTCTCTCTCTCTCTGCCTGCCTGCCTGCCTGCCTGCCTGCCTGCCTGCCTGCCTGCCTGCCTGCCTGCCTGCCTGCCTGCCTGCCTGCCTGCCTGCCTGCCTGCCTGCCTGCCTGCCTGCCTGCCTGCCTGCCTGCCTGCCTGCCTGCCTGCCTGCCTGCCTGCCTGCCTGCCTGCCTGCCTGCCTGTCCATCTGACTGTCTGTCTCTCCGTCCCTCTGGTTGTTTGTCCCTCTGTCTCGTTGTCACTCTGTCTCTCTGTGACTGGCCCTCTCTCTCTCTCTCTCTCTCGCTCTCTGCCTGCCGGTCTGTCTGCCTGCCTGCCTGCCTGTGTCCGTCCGTGAGTCTGTCCGTGTGTCTGTCTCTGTAAACCTATTTCATCCTATCAAGATAGTATCAATCCAGTATTCTATATATAACTCGATCGATCCATCGATCTATGTATATGTCTGCCTGTCAGTCCGTCCGTTTGTCTGCCTGCTTGTTTCTATACATGCATCTAACCGACCAATCTATCCACCCCTGATATGACCATCTAGTCTAATCTAATGTAATCTAATCAACTCTACTTTAGGCGATATATCCATCATACCCAGCCTATCAAATTAATCTAGTCTATGTAATGATCCTTCTTAGATATTATCTAGCAGATGTAGTCTACTAAATATGGTTCATCAATCAAGTCCACCCCATCCATCTAATAGATATGATATGATATGCATCACCTAACATGTCTAATGTGTCAGATGTATATACATAGGCTATGTAATCGACCTGATCTGTCTAATCAATCTGACCTGTCTAGCCTATGTTCATGTGCAATACTGTTGATCCACCGTATGTCTAATCTATGGATCCGTCAATCTATATGTATTGTATACCTATGTATCTACACATCTATTCACCAATCGTTCTATGTAGCCGTCCACAATCTGTCGATCGATCAATGGACATGTATTTCTATTATTGTTCGATCTGTTTAGCTCTATCTGTATATCTACGTACCGACCGGTCGATCTATGTGTATACCCATCTATTTATCTGACCATCGTATGCCTATCTATCAATGTATCTATATGCAAAGTAATAGGTGTGCATATATGTATATATCGGTCCGTCTTATCCGTATAGCCTATCTAACCAAGTCAACCTATCCAACCAACCTGTCAATCCCCATGTGTATCTATATGTCTGCCCATCTGTTTATCCAACCACTGTATGCCTGTCTATCAATGCATCTATGTGTGTATTAATGTGTATATATATAGCGATCCCTCTAAACTATATAGCCTATTTAACCAATTCAACCCATCCAACTATCCAAACCTGTCAATCCCCGTGTATATGTATGGCTGTGTCTGTCTATTTGCCTGTCCACCTATCCAGTGTCTATCTATCTATATATCTATCTATTTCTCTATCGATCTATCTATCTATCTATCCACTTAGTTGTACTTATATGTGTACACCTATCTATCCACCGCCTTTCTACCTATCCATCTGTGTATCCATCCATATCTACTTTTCTGCCTACCTAAAAAACATCTAATCTATGTACCCTTATGTCCATCTATCCTTATATGAATCGATACCTCTATGCATCTATCCATCTATCTGTCCATCCATATTTACATGCATCCATGCATCCGTGCATCCATGTACGGATCCATCTATCCATCCATCCACCCAACCATCCACCCAACCAGCCAGCCATCCTTCCATCCACCCACCCACGCAGCGAGCCATCCATCCTTCCATCCATCCACCCACTCATCCATCCCTCCATCCATCTTCATAATGTTTAAGCCCAGTTTGCCCAGAAACGCGCACAACCCCCTCTCGAAGTTCTCTTTGATGCCAGCGCCCACTAAAACCCGTCATGGGCCACATTGGTTTACACCAGCTTGAAGCAACGAATACCCACACAGAAAACAAAAAACACTTTTTCGGACATGGCCACCAGGCGCATTGCCACCAAAAAGATCCGTGGCGAGCCTTCCCTCGCCTTGGAGCCTCTCGGGGGGGCAAATTGCGGCCCCGGGATCGGATCCAACTCAGTTGCCCCTTTGGGACCCAGAAGGTGATCACCAAAATTTTAGCACCTCTAAAAATGGGAACCCCAAATGGGAAAGCCGAAAAAGGTGAAAAGGTGGGCTTTGGACAACTGAGCAAACGCTTCGAGCATCTTTAGATGTTTGGATGTTTGCTTTTCCAGATAAGGCGGAACTCGTGTTCTAGCCGTCCCCTGCGCATTCCTGCTTGCTCCCAGTCTGCCTTGTCCTTTCCCAGGCCTCCTGTCGATTTCCAGTCGCGAAAAAGGGGCTAAACTGTGTTGCTAGTTGATGTTCGGGGGCGCCCCCAAGAAGAAAGCTTACCACGAGGCACCACGCTTGGACATTCGCCAAACACGGAAAACAAGGGAATTGCAATCACTAGAAGTCAGTGTTTTTTCCTGCAGGTCGAGGCACGTCATCAGGAACATGCACACCACCACCAAAGGCGCCAACGCCACTGGCTGAATCACCACCCGTTTTTCCTCCTGCGAAAGAAGCAACAAAAAAGCCGGGTGAAGGTTCCAAGGGCTGCATCTGAAATGATGACCACCCCCAATCCATGGAAGCGGGACCGAGGGGGACGAACGGGAGCGCTGGTCAACATGGGCTGGACATGACATGGGAACTGGTGGTGAAACCTCGTGAACGCATGCCTCTGGGTCTCGGAGGCACACATCTACCGGCAAAGTACCTCATGGAGCCGTCCGAAACCTGGTGGTTTGCAATGGGAAGCCCATCTTCCCGCCTCAGCTTTTGACAAACCGCTACGAATACGTATGATTCTGGCCGCTAGATAGGGGGGCTTGCTGGTTTTCGGAGAAAAAAGAAGAATAATAAAAACAACGTCCCCTGTTGGTTTCCCTGAAGCAAAATAATTTATAGGCTTTTCGGGTTTTTGTTTGTTTTTGTTTTTTTTGCGGTACCCTTTTCAAGCAGGTCTCAAAAAAGGAGAAAGATTCAAGGAACTAACTTGGGGGTCCCCCCATTTTGACACATCTACGTGGCACCCAGTCAAGTGAACCCGCTGTGAAATCCATTTGGCTGGACTCGGGGGTGACCAGAAGCAAACACGAGCATGCATATGTCGGCTCGTGCAGATTCACGTGGAACCCCTCCTCTCCAAAACGAAAATTTGGCAGAGGAATATCCTCTTGAGGAACCCGCGTTTGGAGAAACCCATGTGAAATTGCAATTGGCACCACTACAACAAGGAAAATCACTACCACCTAGCATAAGGATAGCTACTTATTTTAAACAACCCAGTTTAAAGAGCTTTTGAAGGGACGGCACTAGGAAGCCCCTGAGTTGCCTTGGAATTAAAGGGAGGTTGCAACTAGGTCCCGACATTCGGTATTTCACCTTCCAGTGACTTCAGTTGACTGGCCATTGGGCCCTCGATTTCAAATGGTGCAGAGCCTGTCAAGCAGAGTACACATCAAAGTTTGGCATCCGGCTCATCCCTTCACTCAACCCGACTCATGGAACCCTGACCCTTCAGAGGATCAATGGGAACCTTACAAGGGCCTTTGAACAGATACATCCGCCAAATAGCTTCGTCTCCGTGCCTTCACTGCTAGATAGGCCACAAGCTCAAAGACAGTCCAGATTCCTGGGACGATGTGGGCTTGGCATATCGTCTTTGACTGGCCATCTATGACTGTCAAAGCACCAAACATCCTAGGAAGGGGCCTAGACAACACCGAGGTTCCCAATTTCCTTTCCAAAAATACAACCACCGGGTTCGAGAGATTTGTGCCCCCTCATCAACGCACAACCTGGTGGAATACGTAAGCCACCCACCGTGAGCGAACCAATCCCTGCATGTATGGTCCCACAATCATTTCCTTATTACTTTGGCTTCATGAAAGCCAGCGTGCCAGCCGAAGCTAGGTCCAGTTGAGAGCTTAGAATAAGGGTGCCCGAGTTTTTTTTTCTGTGGTCTATTCTTGTAGGGGAACCCTCCCCCCCCAAAACAAGAGGGTACAAGGGCACCACTGGGGCACCTAGCTAAGCATATTGAAACCCCGCGAAGGATCCAACAGCCCTTGGATCGAGCAATCGGCCAAGGAGTTCGGAACTTCGGGCAAAATGGTGAGCTCAACCCTAGCCGGGGCCCCACTTTGCCAAATACATCCCCATCAACTGGCAATCAACACCTGACGAAAATAAGAGCTCGCAAATCACCTGCGAGTTCTCACTTGAGACACTTGAAGTGCATACTCCCTTGTTCAAAGAACTGTCTTGATGTCATGCACAATAATCAGAAGCATAAAGCCCAGGTCAAAAGCTCTGCTTTCACATGCCAGAACCTGCCTTGAGCTAAAAAACCTGGAGCTTGCCAAGGTAAAGGCTTCGCTTTCAACCTTCTGAAGCCCACATTGGTTGGAAGGAGCATATTTTCGGGGACTTGTCTCTGTAAGATGTGGACACAGCAAAGGGGCGCTGCAAGTAGTGCTCCGAGAAGACGACGAGGAGCACGTCCGAGTGGCAAAGGTAGGCCGTAATCGCCTGCGCCCCGTTTTGCCCAAAACACCTTGAGGATGGTCCGCCAGTTTTCCTCCGTCTTGCTGGGTGCACGATTCTGCAGTGAGCCCAGCCTCGAGAAGCTGTTTGTGGAAGAAAAAGATGTTTGAGTCTGCAGTGAATCTTGGAATGAAAGCATGCAAAATGCCGTCAAAGAGATCCCAGGAGGGGGGGTGGGGGGCTTCGATTCTTCGCATCTCCCAAATGGGAAAAATTGGAAAACCCAAAACAAACAAATTATATTCCAGGGTTGGCTCGCCTTCCTCCATTACTTTTCTGGTGGAGGGTTGCCCATCCTTGCAAGAAACCCTATTGCATACTCCATGAATTCATGCATGCTCGGTGTGTCTTAACCGCAGTGCCTGTTTGCATGGAACTCTCAGGGGGGCCTTTTCCAGAGACAGCAGGATCTAAGTAGGACAACAAACAATGCCCCACAATGAATTGTGGCTTGCCCTTGTTGTACTGGAAACAGTCAGCCAACCACAGGACTCTAGTTCTTATACCAGTGCGCGGGTATGTATGTGTCAAGCAGGGGACTCCTAAACATGTTGTGTTTCCTGTTTGTTTCCCTTTCAACCAATAAACGGGTACCCTCCAAAAAATAGACACCCACATGGCAATTTTCATGTTCAAGTGCAGACATGGGTGCTCGCGACAAGGCGAAGGCGAAACCCAACAGATTCGGTTTAAGCTAGAAGTTTGGCCTGTTGCAAAGGGAAACCAAAGAAAGCCATACATTTTTGCAAAACACACATGGACAGCAGTTGTGAGCTGGACATTTTACACTCCCCAGCTGGCCGGGCCACGGTGCGAGTATCCACCACGGAATTCGTATGATAAACCAAATGTGGGATTACGAAAGGCACGCTGCTTTTCACTCCTCCAGAGTGAGCATGGCCTCACATACTGCCACAAGTTAACACAGACACCGCACAACATTCATGGAGACATATCCTTCTGGGACTGTTCGCATGCCGCCTCAGAGAATCCTCTTTCACTGGGGTGCTCACTGTGACTTTTAGCTGGGAGGTGCTCGAAGATCTGATGCCCTGTCCCTGGATTCATCCAAGGGGAACCCTTTGTAAACCATGGGGCTTGCACCGCATGATTCGCTTCCCGGGTGCAAACCGCTGCCATGTCGTTCCTCACCTGAAACGATTTCCCCACTAGTCCCTTGCATAGAAACCAAACTAAGAAACACGCCAGAGCAAAGGGCACATTTGCTCGCATTTGCTAATGTGAACTTCGGATTGAGCCGAAGGACAGTGCTAATCAGGGGGGTTGCCATATTAGTAAGGAGATGATCTACTTTGGGGGGGGAATCCTTTGACTAGTAAAAGACAAATGCTTCAAGCTTACCGAATCCAGGGACTAAAATAAAAGATGGTGTCTCCGAAAAGGTTGTACCATGAAGGCTCTTTAAACCTCATCTTAAACTCAGTTGCCCAAAGGACCCAGAACTAAAAGGTTAACCTTTTGGCACCTCTACTAAAAATAGACCAAAATTGGAAAACCAAAAGGTCAAAAGGTCGGCTTTGGACAACTGAGTAAACCAAGACTGATGCATTGACAATTGTCCGAAACATCTAGACACAATCCCCGGAGAAAAAAAGAAGAAAAAACACGGGCCAGAAGAAGGTTTTTTCAGCAACAGGTTTGCAAATCTGGTTGACCAGCAAAGCCCCTATGCTAACCCTTTTGGTTATTAAGATATAAAGGGTGGTTCCCGATGTTACCTCTACGCATATATATATATACAGTATAAAGGTGAATGGATCCATCGGGACATGTCAAGTGAAGAGGCCTCAATGCCCTCGCGCTGTTTCTCCTCATTGGACTGGTCGATGCAAACCTCGGAGGTGTTATCCGGAAAAAGGTATATTAAAAACCAAATCGGGAGGTGATTTGCGGTTGGCGAGGTCTGGTCAACAGCGTGTCTGGGACACTCGTTTTGTGTCCTTCGTTGTGACTCTCCGAGAAACCAGCCACAGGAAAGCCCAACTTCTGTACGTGCTAGTCCTTTCGGAACCCGAAAGGTTGAACATGTCGGCCTTGAACTGAGCAGCCTCAACGCAGACATTGCCAAGTTCAGGCTACCATGTGAAACTGACGAGGCTGCAATTTCTCACCATCAAAGAAGCATGTGCTCTGAATTGAAACCCGGACTAACATGGGAACCCCAAAGCGGGACACCAACAAGTGGGAAACAAACAAATCAGCTATGGACAATTGGCTGCGGTCGATTCGCGTTGGGTAAGTCAGTGTTACCCCAGCTGCTCCCTTCAAGAGGCATACGCGCAGGAAAGCCGACCTTGATATACCCCGAATCGCCGGAGCCTTGAAAAATGTGGGGGAAGCGACCTCTCAAGGGCCAAGCTCAAGAGTTCAGTGCAAGATCTCTCGATGCTTTGTTTTTTTTCCCGGTGATGGACGCTTTTTCTGGGAAGGTGATTCAGCGATTGATATGATTGGCCAGGGCTCCTTGCCTTGGGCTGTTGGAGACACTTTTTCGGCATCCAACGCTTGTGAACCACAACGTGCGTCCGGGCAAGCTGTAACGGCAGCACGAGTGAAGCCAGTCCGTCCCAAACCAGGAACGGCGCAATGGCAAGTCGAAACACCTGGCAAAGCATGCCACAGCCAATGTGTAATCTCGGTTGCTTTCTGCTCCCCTGCTAAAAGCTTAAGGTTTAGTGGTTTGATGGCAAACCCATTAGTTAGCAAAAAGTTAAAGTCCCAACATCCAAGCAGAATACAGCGAAGTAATGGCATCAGGTGCAAAAAAAGCTCAGCCCAAACAGGACGGGAATGGAGACCCCGACCAAGTTTCAGAAAACATGTGCGACATGCATCCACTCTATTGGGAATTGTGCCCACCATCTTGCCACCCCCCCACCCCAAACCTTCTGGGGAAAATTGCCTGATCGAGGCCAGCTGAGCTACAAATCAACCGCGTCTTCCGCGAACCTTGAATTGGAATTATGAATCCACTAGTTTTTTGCTGACTTTGGTTGATGATTTTCAGTTGCTTTTGAAAAATTGGGGGTGAGCTTAGGCAGTGGAACTGGAGTTGTGCCCCCACTCCCACACACACGCACACACAAATTTGTCACTAGCCCTGGTCCTTCCGCATCTGATCTCTTCTGCGTCTTTTGCACGCACACAGTGGGAAGCTCATGGCATGGTAGCCTGGAATACTTCGACGAACATGTGTGCTTCAATACCCCCAGGTAAAGGACCTACACCATGGCTTTCGCGCGGTTGATCCCCCCGGTCGGTAAAAGTTAAGGCAGAAGGATGGTTTCTGTCCAGCATCCCACCACGACTCTCTCTTGGACACGCTTTTCTTTTTTTTGGGGGGGGGAGGAATGGGAGCAAGCAGTCGTTGGATGCTTCCTGGTTACCCCTGCACGCCCCCCCGGCGTCGCGAAATCGGCGTCTTTTTTTTGCGTCGAGGCAGCCGTGTCGAAGAAGGCCCTGTCGAAGAGGAAACCCATTCGCAGCAGCTCGTGGCGACCGAAGAGGACAATGCCAAAAGCCTGGGGTACACTGGAGGATATCCCCCCTAAATTCCATTTATATCCATTTATCTAGTCTTCCCCACAAAGGAGAAAATGGAACCATAAATGGAATTCCAGGGGCCACCCCCTCCCCCAATTCCATTTACAAGGGGGCGGGGATACTGGAGGGAAGTGCAACCACTCACTTTTGCGGGACATGCAAAACAACAAGCAGTCAAAGCCACCACACTTGGACCCAGGACATTCAGATACGTTTCTCTTAGGAACAAATATATGTTGGGCTTGTCCGGGGCCATGATTCGCCAGTTGCCCCGCCCCCCCCTGGGGGTCCACCTCGTATACATTGACGCGCCAGGCTGCGGAAGACAGGGCAATCAAAACTGGCACAGAGGTCGAGCCACGAAAAGAGCGGACTTGAAAACAAGGCGGCCGAATCAATTTGGGACTTGAACTTTGACTGCCCAAGTCTGATGGCTGCTGGGTCCGCAATGACCTGGTTTCCTTTGCGGGTAGCCCCGAACAATGCATGGCCTTAGTGCACCCATCAGTCATTACTTGGGAGTGTCCTTTTTGATGCCCTTTTATTTGTGGTTTCAAAGGAAACTCCACAGGAAAACCACATTGGAGGGATCCCCCCCAAAAAAAAGCATGGCCTCAAGGGTGCACCTTTCTGGCCCGATGTCCCCCACACACATAGCTGCCCGAAATATGGTGCATTCCCCAAATCCCCGCCACAAAACCAAGCAACAGGCGGACATTGCAGGGTTTCCCGAGCAAATCCTTGCAATAGGACATCCACCGAAAACCTCCGAAGACTCCGGAGTCTGATGGTATGATGGTGGCCTCTTCAACCCGAAGGGTCCCGAAGATCTACCCAGGTTTTGGTACTTGGAAGTTCAGAGCGCCCGTGTTCATGAAACAAAATGACATTCCAACGCCACCCTTCTGCAGAACCTGGGCCCGCACCGCGACCCTTCAAGAAAGGGGCCCTTTTTGAGGACCGGAGAACTATCGGGGGGTCCTGTAGCTGGAAATCCACTTCGCATTTGCACTTGCTCGAAGCCCTGTGAAATATATACATATATATATATATTAAAGAAAACAAAAACAAAAAGCTACCACCTGCTGTGAACCGGACTTCATCTAGGGCACCCACCCCCTACCCACCCGCCCAGCCATCTGTCAAGAGGCTGTCATGCCCAGTGAGGATACCCAGAGGCTCAGGTCGCCTCCCAAAGCCTTGGATTTCTGTGGATATCCGCGGGAAAAGGGGAGCCCTTCAGTTGAATTAAAAGCCAAACCCTCAAAACGGGACCGAAAAGAGGCGAACGCCCAGATGAATTCTCAGGGATGCATTCTCAGCTTTTGCCCTCCAATCAAAAACGAATGTAGAGGTCTGGTCAATATTTAGTGAGCAAATAAGGCTCACATAACTTCAAACGAGCTCCCCGGAGAGGTCCTGCTCACCTGTCTCAAACAGGCACCTTTGGGGATGTTTTGAAAGGGAAGCCAACATCAACCAATTGGAAGAGCCTCTAAAATTCAGAAGCACTATCACATCATCTTGTGATTTGGCTCCAGGTCCAAGCAGCAAGCCCCTCGAGAGCCTGAGTTGGGCTTTTGTTGGTACCGCCGTTGATCCCAACGAGGCTTTCCCCTGAAGGTTTTTGGAGCTTGAGCTCCGTGACTGGCATCCTACCGTCATGGCGCGAATGAATTTGTCCTGGACATGTTGCCTAGGTCCTCCAGTAGCGAGGTTAGCATAATAAGGGTCCCCGATTTTTTTCCGTAGTCTGCTTTAGGGCAACCCTCCCAAACAGAAGGGGAGAGAAGGACGCTACTGGTGGACCCAGTTGCGAGTGTCTCATGCCACCTTTACGCCAGTGAAAGGTCCAGAGATGAACCCAACGAGCAACACCAACACTGCAGCTGTGGCTTGGATTGAGATCGGTGCGAGGCTGCATTTGGATTTGCCACTCAAACCCGGTGCTTCAAGGGCGAAGTGGTCGTCAGCTCAATCGAGTTCACAGCAGTTGTGAACAATGACGCTTGCTGTGATACCGAAGTCGGGCATCCCTATGACCACTTTGCCGAGCTCAAGGGAGCTTCTCGCAAAATATGGAAGCCCAAATTCGCACAGGTATCTTGCATGTAGAATGTGAGCAAACATGAATTTACCCGGCCATCCCCTTAGCTCAACCCAGTTGTCGCGTACGTGTTTCTCAAAGCTTCCCGGTGCATCCCACTGAGCGCTACAGCAGTAGGAAGGATCCCCAGAAAGGCAAAGGCCTCCCTATGTACATCTAAGAAGAACTACATGTCCAAGACTTCCAACAAACGACAAACTAGTAACACACATATGGGCTTTAGCTTTTTGAGAGCCCTATTCAGAAGCCTATTCAGGTTTTTTTTTGGTGAAACCTGAAAACACATCACCAGTGTGTGTGTGTGTGTCCCTATTTTGACTCACATACTCATATGATACGAGGAGCAGGGACTAATTCCGATCTTGGGAGCTTGAGTTGGTGAAACGCTTCCCAGGTCGTACTTGCTCGTAACGGCTTAGAATGAAGTCAGCCCCGTGACAGAACACCATCTCGGGCAGAAAATCAGATCTGACATGTCTAGCTCACAAACTTGAAATTGGTCAGGGGACACCCACTTCCTGAGAGGATTGAGTCTGATTTTTGTTGTTTGCCACTAAAATGCTCTTCCCAAAAAAGACTAAGTCCATGAACTCAGGACGTGAGGACAAGGGCAGCCCGTTGCGTTTACAGGGAAGCCCCGTTTGGAAAAAACGGACGGCGCCGGAGGTCTGGGAGGTGCCCAAACGAGGCGCAACGCCCTCCGGAATGATGACGTTCATGGAGGTTTCCTCAGTTCCAGCTCGTGGAACCCACCGAACGGTTGTCGTTTTTGGGGGAATCTTCTTTTTGGGGACTTGGCCGGGGTCCCATATTCATCCGCGCCCCATCCGCGCAAACTATAGACCTAATGCTACGTTTGAGCGTGGGCTTAGCATTTCGGGGGGCATCTGGAAGTGCTGCTGCTTCTCTGCTCAAAGGACATGGCCCGCCATTGAAAGGGGGCATGACAAGCACTGACCTGAACTGGGCTGGGTGCCAAGTATATAGGGAGTTTCTCTTTGGGTAAGCTAACGGTTTCCCTTTGGGCTATTTAGCACCAAATGAAAACCCAACAGGTCAAGAGGTTGGCTGTTGAAAACTGAGCAGGGCACACGCACACACACAGTCTCTCCCTCTCACACGGGAATGACCAAACAGACGTACACATGCCATCACCAAGAGCGACTGCGCGTACCAAATGTTTAGCGCCTGCCGTGTCCAAAGCCACACACGCTGACCCAATGTTGAACATAACATGCCCCTTGATTTTAGGAGTATCTGCGAATGGCAGACTGAATGTGGAGCAAAGCCACGAAAGAAGCATCCATCGCAAGCCCAAGGTGATCAATGAGATCATCGCAAGCGTGGCCAAACTGGCCAAATGCTCAGTTGACCAGTAGCCGCCGCTTTGGAAGACAACTGTAGCGGTGGTTTCCAAACAGGCTCCGCTTGTAGAGATCTTCCGAAAGCGTCGACTTAGCCACGACAGATCTTCCATGTGTGCTGTTTCCCACCGCTTTAAAGTCGAGCTTGCACCAAACGAAACTTGCAAACACCTCGATTGATGGATCTTAGACAAGTGGAAACATGGACCCTGGTGTCGCCTTGTGCCGCCTTTTGCAGCGGATACCAAAAAGGGCCCTACTTGAGACATAACTTATCGCTCCAAATGATAGGCTTTTCGGCACACCAAACGTGTCCAAATACTTAGCTGCGCTTGGACTCTGGGGCATCCTGATTATGGCCGGATCAGCTCGGCTTGCAATGCAGGCAAGCAGCGCGGACGACTGGAAGCAGTCCTGCACTCCCAACCCCAAACAGCGCATGGCCGTGTTTTTTCTTCCCCCCCTTTTTTTTCTGGGCATTACGTGTCAAAATAGGGCGAACTCGTGAATTGGCAGTCGTCCCGTTTGGTTTCCCTTTAAACCACCCACAAAAAGAAGAGTCCTCTTTGAACAGCCCCCAAGGAGACTCTGAAATATGCTGAAATGGTGACATCTCAAGCCACGCCCTCAGGAAACGTTTAACGCGATCACCTTTGGCCATGTCAAGGACCAAACATGGGAAACCAAAGGCTAGCGATCCTCCTTTGGTAACCTCCTCGGGCACACATATCACCTGATGTTAAACATCGATCCATGTGTAAATAAAGCTCCCAGTTCAAACATGAGTGGGCCTTGGGAAGCCCAAGGCAATTCCCAAAGTGCCTGCCAAGATGACATTTGAGAAATTCGCTTTCAACCCAGGCGAAAGCAAAATAAAGCAACCCATGAATCATCGCAGGGACCCAGCTCTCTGATCTCAAGGCGATGCTCCTGGCCTGCGCAAAGAGCTGCAAAAACCAGCAGCTGCACAACTGCACTTATAAGTACCTCGGCTCGGTGGGAAGGTCGAGGGGGGGGGGGAAGGGGGAAGGAAGGAAGGGAAGGAAAGGGGGAAGGAAGGGGGGAAGGGGGGAAGGAAGGGGGAAGGAAGGGGGAAGGAAGGGGAAGGAAGGGAAAGGGAAGGGGGGAAGGGAAGGAAGGAAGGAAGGGAAGGAAGGGAAGGAAGGGAAGGGAAGGGGGGAAGGGAAGGGAAGGGGGAAGGGAAGGGAAGGGGGAAGGGAAGGGGGGAAGGGAAGGGAAGGGGAAGGGGGGAAGGGAAGGGGGAAGGGGGGAAGGGGGAAGGGGGGAAGGGGGGGAAGGGGGGGAAGGGGGAAGGGGGAAGGGGGGGGGAAGGGGGGGAAGGGGGGAGGGGTGGGTGGAAGGGGGGGGAGCCAAAAAGGTGTGACCACTTGGCTACTTTGCAATTGGATCGCTCCGCCTGTAAAGTGGCCTTTGCCTCACGTGATAATACGTGCAACAATTTTTACCCTCAGCTCGAGCAGATGCGGGAGACCCTGTCACAAGGGTAGCTGGGAGGCTAGAAGAATCAGACAACTGGCAAACGCCCAGGGGTTCCACTGCCAAACATGTACATATATAATGATGTGAAAGATTCGCGCACAAGGGGGCAAATGCAAACTCACAGGCAACCAATGAAGATGACTGAGCAACAAAGGCACGAATCCTGCTTGGTCCATGGCGTTGTCTCCAAGTGTGAATCCCGCCTGCGTGCGTATGATTTGTGAGGGTACCCTTTCTTAGGTTGGTTGAGAGGGAGACCGAAAGGCAAGCGCAACAGGCGGGTGCGTTTTTGCTCTTGAGGGTTCCGAGCAAGCTCGTTTTGTGGCCCTGCCATGAATGACTTGCAGTAGACCAAGTTGGTTTATTTTCTGCTCAGGGGAATAGATCAGAGAGCTTGATCGTTTTTTAGGGCGCCCTATATGCTTCGAACCTTTTTGATAGGCGGACCAAGGAGGGCCCCCCCCCAACCTGAGAACTGCCGGCCCTTGCCGCTTGTCGCTTTCGGCTTGGGCACCGCCGACTTGCCATTGAAGTAGAGCGCCAGGGCGATGAACTTTCGCCAGCGGCCCACGGCCCAGCCTTTGGGTCAAAATCAATCCGCCAGACCGCAGGTTAAATCGTCCATGTTTCCACTGACCAGGGCAAGCCGTTGTGGGTTACCCGATTTTTCACAACCACAGCCATTTGCATCAGCCATCTGAGTCTTTCCCGCTTTGGAGCAGAGAGTTCGGAGCTAGGGTTGCGAAAGGGTTCCGGGGGTTACTGTTGGTGGATACCTGGGCTTGTTGATTCCGTCCTTTAAAACCAGCTTCCCTCCAATTGGTGGTTTGGATTGCTGGTTTGATGGCTAAGGGATGGTTCCCCATGTACCCGCCACAAGCACCAGAAATTCAAATCCCCAAACCAACAGCTAAAGGACACCTGATAAACGGGGAATTCTTGAACCGAATCCATGACTTGGTGCCCTTTGATCCGTTGCCACCCCCCTTTGTGGGGTCCGAAACGGGCTTGGCGCCCTGTCACTGACTTGGCGAATTTCCCGCTTGAATCAAGAAAGAGAAGCCCAACGCTAAGTGTCCAAGTGTCAACTTCATCCGGCTGTGCCTTTTTCTTTGATTTTGTTTTTTTTTGGCGTGTAAGGGGCGTGCAACCACTTAGTGGTTACCATGCGAGAGGAAAACCGAAAGGCCAACCATTGGGGCTGGAGGGAAGGTTTGGGCCACGCTCTCGCCGACGAAGCCGGTAGATCCAGCCGCGAACCACGGAAAGGCCCAACCAGATTTTGAACCAAGCCTGGCAAACAAGGCCAACAAGCATGCCGCATATCTTCAGCTTCCCTCTGACCGGTGGTGTTGATTGGTGGTTTCAATTTGCAGGGGGGTTCAACTCCCCAAGCCGCCAATCCGAGCCAGCAATTCTCAGTCCAAGCCAGCAACTAACGGTTGCCTGACACTTGGACCAGTAAGCACAAATAATGGCGCCAACTGATTCGAGATCTGCCGCGCTACTATGGCTGATGAATACGTCGAGGCGATCGTCCTTCACCTCCTTGCGTGACGTGCAAAAAGGGGGCGTGATGGGGCGTGGCCGATGCTGCACGTGTTTTAGTTGGTTGCCCCCAGGAAATTGGCAACACCACCGACGAAAAGAACAACACACCCTTGAGTTGTGTTGGCTGGTGGGTTTTGAAGGAAAGGCAACCACAAGAACAGCCAAAGGTTGATGCTTTTTGGGCACTTAAAGTTAGACCAGACCTTGCCCATCTTTTTTCTATAAAAAAACCTAGGGTCCCCCCCACACTTTTAGCAACATTTTAAAACAGCACCTCAAAAAGCACATTTTCAAAAATCAACATTTTAAAGCAGGTAATTTCCTAGTAAGTTCATCCATATTTTAAAATATAAATTTAAAAAAAAAAGAAAAAAATAAAAAAAAATAAAAAAAAAATAAAAAAAAAAATAAAAAAAAATTACAAAAAAAAACAAATAAATTTTAAAAAATAAATTTTACAAAATTTTACAAAATAAATTTTCAAAAAATATAAATTTTAAAATAATAATAATATAATTTTACAAAATATAATTTTACAAAATTTTCAAAAAATATTATTCCAAAAATTATGATAAATTATTTTACAATAAATTTTATCACAATTTTTGTAGACATAGTATGGGCAAGGTTATGTTCATTCGTTTTTTACGGGCACCATTCTTTCTTAATTCTTTCTATTATTTTATCACACGTTGTTTCATTATAAATATTACTTCTTATTTGTTTTCTAAACATTCCCATTATTCCAATTGCACGTGTTATTGTATATCTAAGTTCGTGAGTTTTATACCGATCATTTAAAACCTCATGTAAAAAATCAAGGTCATTATCATTCAATGTTTCATATTTTAAACGTTTAATGCTAGAAGACATATTGTATAATCTTTTTACCATGCTATAATACTTAAAAATAAAATCATTAGCATTTCCTTCATCATCGCCCTGATATAATAAATTATCAAACCCTTCTATAGTTAAGAAATTATTCATTTCAATAAACACAAATATTTCTAAATCATCATCAATAGTTTCATTATTTTTAATATCAATATCTTTGTTATTTATATCATCAATTTTGTTTATAATTCTATTGCAATTATTGCATATCATATATTGACAAATATTATTACAAACGCCATTTGTAAAACCCCGTTCAATTGGTAATTTTAGCATTTCACAGTCTCCACATTTATAACTCATAAACTTTTTTTTCAATATATTTTTAGCATCATGGACTGTATCACTCATCACACTATATAATAGTATTATAAAATATTTCTTTAAATACTTTTTACAAGAATTTTAATTTTAAATTAAAATTAAATTAATAAATTAAAATTATAATTATATTATCATAATTAAATTAAAAATTATCATCATTTACAACTACAATTGCATAATTTACAAAATGGGATGATATTTTCTATTGTATGAGTTAATTCATTATCTTTTCGTTGTGCTGTTAGATTTGTAATGATATTACCATTTTTCATATCAATAGTAAAACCACATCCGCAGTAATTACATTGATTATTTATATTATCTAGAAACCATTGAGTATTTACATAACCTTCTCTAGGTATGCTTCTTTTTGCTTTCCTGTCTTGTTCCTTATAATTCAAAATTTTCCTTTCAAAATAACTCATAATACATTTTTGATTAAATACATCATCAACATCCTTTGTATATTTATAAAATTTGACTTTGTTTAAATCACGAGCACGTGTTACCGCTGTAAAAATCCATTCTGGATAATTCTTTACCAAAAAATGATTATAATCAAAAATTGTTATGGTGTCATCAATGCTACTACCTTGAGTAGAATGACATGTAGAGCAAGAAGAAAATATAAAATTGCTTCTTATTTTAGCAAGTTCTACGGATTGTAAAATTTCGGTTTTTACATTTTTTAATGTAAATATTCCATCACTTCCAATATGAACTATTTTATATTTGAAATTTACATTAAAAACTGATGTTTTAGTTTTAGTATATTCTCTACAAATTAAAAATTCTCCTACTTCATATTCATCTTTTCTATTTTCTAATTTTCTAATTTCATTTGATACATTTTTACAAGTTGTATTCAAAAATGCTATGTTGTTTTTGGAACTACTTATGTCTGTGGTGTATTCAAAATATTTTTCAATAATAGTTTTAATTGGTGATTTATTAATAAAAATATCATATTTTATATTCTTGAGTTTATCCTTATCTTCCTGTGTGTTAAGTCTCTTACATTCTTTCAATATTATATTATGTGTAAAAATATTATCTATAATATTGTCAGTGTATAATTCATAGTCTTGAGTATTTGTTATTTCTTGCACTGGTTTTAATTGCTTGGTGTCTCCTGTTGCTATTATAATTTTGTTGTGCTTATTCTGTTCTACAAATTGTTTTATTCTCCAGTATATATTTAAATTACTAAAATAGATTTCATCAAATACTATTACATCAAATTCTGTAAAATCAAATGGTTCTAATTTAGCATCTCCATAATTAATACCAAAGAATTTATTTATCGTCATTGCTTCTCCTTCAAATGCCTGTAATAGTTTATTAGTAGGACAAATAAAAATTACCTTATAATTTTTATCAACCATTTTTTGACATATATATGATTTTCCTGTGCCCGGTAGTTCACCTCTGATCATAATAGGATTATTCTGTTTAACAATCTCTATAATGTTATCAGTGTCGTATTCATCTTTAATATCAATAGTTTTACTTTCATAAGCTGGTATTTTTATTAATTCATTATTTACAACGTTAAATTTTACTGTAGGTAAATTAATTTCATCTCTCTGCTTTGAAACTTTCCAACCTCCTATATCATCATGAAATTCTAATAATTGCTTTGTTTTTTCTTCATTGCATGTATCAATTACAAAAGCATCTGTTTTTACACTATATATATTAATATTATTAGTTATTAGTGTCTTAAAGTCTTGGTTCATTTTAAAATTGTGATGTTGTAAAAGTAATTCTTTAATATATCGATATCCGTTTCTTAATACTGCCTTATCCTTCAAATTCAATATATAATATGATGCCTTTACATCCCATTCATCCTCATCAAATCCATAATATGTTGTAGTTGCGCCTCCTTCGTCGTCATATTCGGTTATCATTTCGGGATATTCGCTTATAATATGCGATAACTTATTAATTTTACCTCCGTATTCTGTTTGATAATGGACTGCTTCATCAATACTTTTAAATAAAATACTTTGATGTGCTGTAGCGCCTCCTTTTTCTAATAATCCAAAATTTACATTTGCTATTAACTTTTTAATTAGTTTATCTAATGCTTCGTCATGTTCATCTATACTTGTTTGTAAAAGTTCATTAATAATATTTGTATATTCAACCTTATGAATAAATGAAGGTTGTTTATAATATAAAATATTGATTTTGTGTGTCTTATTCTCATTGATGAATTCCTTCAAAAACTTGCCATATACTAGATTATATTTTTTGTTGAAAAATAAGTTGTGATTACCACTTATTACAATGTTTCTAATTGCTTGTTTTAATTCATCAGGATTTAAAAACAAACTTAAATCATGTGTTTTACGAAATTCTATATAAGTAGCAACGTCAATACCTTTACTATATGCAATAGAATATATCATCTGCTTGGTGTGTTGATTTTTCTCTATTAGTTCCTTAATGCTGTCCATTGTTGTTTTTAATGGTCTTACATTTGTATCTATAGTTTCAACATAATATAAAGTTAATTCATGGAGTTCATCTATTTTAATTTCATCGTTGTATTTTTTCCAATGGTCAAACTGGTTAAATACTGGTATTTCCCTAATATTTAAAAAACCTTTAGTAAATGCTTTATTTACATCTATTTCTGTTTTATAAACTAAATTGATATTACTCAATAATAACCCCGAAGGTGCTATACTTCTTGTTTCATTTAATATTTTAATATCAATGTCGTTATAAAAGGATTTATGCGATGACATGAATAAGGATTTATTGAAATTAAACATTGCTTTGTTCATATTGTTGTATGTAGTTTCATTGCTAACTGCAATCCATCCATCACCGGAAGATTTAATTAAATTTTGAGTTTTTATGATATATGTTATCTTGTTCAATCTTAATCTTATTTCATCAATAATACCTGTGTATTTAATTCTGGGTTCATATCCAATATTCAACAACTGGAATAATAATTCTGCCAAATTATTATTTTCAGGCACTAAATATATTTCCTTTGTTTTATCATCAGTTTTAATTTTAAGTATATCATCTATACATTTAATCATTTTGTATTGTGGCGGTTCTTCTCTTTCATTTATATAATAATCAGTGTGTGCCTTTATAGTGGGTAGTTTTGTTATTAATTGCTTCTGTTGTATCTTACTTAAATCATGGTTTAATGTGTAAATATGGCTATTCTTCACCATTGCGTAAAACGTTTTTATATGGTGGTTTCTCTTTTCTGGTTCATACTTATAAATAACTTCATTTACAAAATTGAAAATTCTAACTTGAATATTAAACTTTTTGAATACTGCTTCCATTTCTTGAATGGTTGCTCCTACCTCCTTAAAATCATCCCTACCTATGATTTCAATAATTTTGTCTCTGGTTAGTCTGTTGCGGGTTTTTTCATTCATGATCGTATCACTGTAAAAATCAGTTAATGAATTTATCCAACATTCATTGTCTATATAATTACCTTTCTTGATTGCCTTTTGTATAGTGCCCTCGCTCATTTTAATAGGTGTGTGTATATATTTATGATAAATTGATACGTTTGTAGCATCCCTTAAGTTTTCGGTTAATATATTAAACTTTTCGCCGTTTTTATTCATCACTTCCACTGATAATATTTTGACACATTCAATATCATTATAAAATTCTGTCATTTCTCTATATATTTCATTAAAATCTTCATCTGTTGTTAATAGATTTATTGTGTCAGTAAATTCGTCATTTGGTGTATCATTATTGCTTCCATATCGTATATCCGA